AAGAGGTACAATTTGTTGTAGATTTGACTAACTAGACTCCCGTGCAGATACCATATTCCATATGCTAAGCATGCATATGATTAAATATAACATTCATATACCGGGGTTTTCAATTCATAAAAGTTGAAAGCTCAAATTGACCTTCTTGTCTTCAATTTATTTAACTTATTATCGTTGTTTAGGCCTGACACTTTTATACGGATCCAAATGAGAGAATGTAATTTTTCTTAATCAGATCCTACAACTTTCGTTTTAATTTGGAATATAAAAAAATTCATAGAAAGAATGAATTAATTATGATCTACAAAATGATATACATTTTGCTATATTTTGAGGAAAGAACAAATTAACTCTTCAAAACACGTTACGATTGTAGTATTATCACTATCCTGTCCATCATATCGTCGTGATATGACAGTGATACGATGACTCATCTCCATCATTTCAACTCAAAATTTAAAAAGAAAATGTATAGAAAGATCGCATTCATTAAGATTTGTCAAGCATAAGTCCTCGTACCAACATCATATCGGTGTCATTCATGTTACCATAGTGACAATATCATTATATAATAGTGATATGATATCATCAAATTATTTTGTCAAACATAAGACCTCATACCAACATCATATAACTATCATATCGATATTATATCACTATCATATCAACATCATACCACTGATATCAGGGTTGGCTATTTGGCCTCAACTTTTAGGTTTTACGCGAAACTAGACCGTATAACCCAGACCGAGACCGAATAGCAAACAATCCAATCCCATTTTCGAGTTTAGATTTGAGATTAAAAAAAAAAAACCGTTCGGGACCGGACCAAAACTGGATAAAGACCGGATGAGAGGGCCCAACACCCAAAACTTAACCAACTCCTCACCCTTTTAGGCCTCAGGCCACTAAAATCTCCACAAGCTCAATCTAAAATCAAGACCGACTTTGGAATGGACCGAGTCAACACCGGAATAGATCAAGACTGGACTGTATCCAATCCAACCTTTGGTCCATATATTCCCGAAAAGATCGGACGAGGACTGGATCAATTCGGGCCAATTTAACCGGACTAGACTATATAGGCACCCCTAACTGATATCATATCTACTACTGTCAGTGGCAATATCGTGATATGAAAGTGGTAAACACAATAGCATAATTTTTTTTTATAAATGAAGAAATTTTATTGCGACGGACAGAAAGAAAATAAGACAAAAATTCAACCAACAGTTGAAAAGAGCAAGGAGAGAAACAAAACTGAAAACAACAATGAAAAAACACTAAGAAAAACCCCAAAGATGGGACGAAAACTCAAACCAAGAACGACACAAAAAGAGAAGACTAAAAAAAACAAAGAAAAACGCTCATCAACTGATACTACATTACAACAAAAACACACTCAAGATCAAAAACTATCTAACTAGTGGATAATATCCGGAACCATTCCAGGCACACGTCATCTGTAATCAACTTTCGAGCGAGCATCCATCTCCCAACCGAATGAATGATCTTATAGCAAATGCTTCGTGGTGGTGACTCTGTATCTCTGAAAACCCGATGATTTATTTCCAACCAAATAAGCCAAAACACAATAGCATAATAGTTTTGTACCCTTATTCAAGCCTTAAATTATTATGCTATTGTGACTAACGCGTAATAATAGAGTAGCGCAAGTAACCTTGCTGGAATGCCATGTAGTCAAAATTGTGATTTAAAACTTAAAAACTTACTCTTTTACACTTCTAAGTCACCAAAATGCTTTTTTACTTAGAATTGCCTTTTTCACTCACAATTGTAGTCAAAATAACGCTTTAAAGGTTAAAAACTTATGTTTTTATACTTCTACATCAGTAAAAACGCTTTTACGTAGAATTGTGATTTTGATTGCATTCCTGGAAAGGTGCAGGATTTGTTATATGGTTAGGGTTTAGTAGCTTCCTCTATGTACGTATGCTTGACATTAGTTTGTATTATCCATGATCACTGAAAACAGTTTTACTTTAATATTTGTTCAAGTTTTAGTACTTCCATAACCAAAGTAGTGGTGGGAATTGGTCCATTCCAGTTTTACTGGAATGCACTACTTGGTTAACCATATTGATTTTACCCCTGCTTACACCTAAAATTTATCTTGTAGCAAATTGATAAGTTATAAGGTACTTAATGATCTTACAAGACCACTTCAGTAATATTATTTAAGTTGGACCTCATGGATATTGACTTTTAATTCCAAGCCACTAAGTCGACAGAGAGAGTGGTTCCACAACCAAACAATTGACGTCTATGTCAAGCTTTATCATTTTTCTCTGCAAGTAGCCATAGTCGTAGTTTCGACCTCTCATTGAACCTTCATAAGAGTAGAAGTAATTTAATGTAGTTATGCTCCCAAAAACCATCAATCAAACAACATTGTTTGAACAGTGTTTAAAGAGGCATGCACCGTGTTTGGTCATTTGGTTAGAAAACAAAGGCACAATCGATTCTATTCAACGCAAGTTTTCTCACCAAAAAGCGCCAGCCCAAAGTCCAATGTAGTTTTGGTTCCTTCGTTGCTCCACCGCTCCCTCGCAAACGAGACGGAAGGTTGTCGAAATTCAGGCTATTCAATGATTTTACATACCAACTGGTTGATGTCACGTGTATCGAATACACAACTTTTCTTTGTGCCAAACCAACAGCTCCACTAGTTGAGCTTCCCCCTCTTTCGTCTTTTTGAATGTTTCCCTTTAGGATTGGGAAAAAAGTGTTATCTAGTAATTCGAATCTAGGAAAACCCCAACGTCAATGCTTTCAATGATTTGGAGCACAACGATACAATAAGACGCCCACATTGTGCAGACGCATAACGTCATAACCGGATTGTAATTGAGAGCTTTTTTCCCACATCAATGTAATTAACAATTATCCTTCACTAATTTAATCAAAATTTATTTGATACAATAATAGTGTTGATGGAGGTGAATTGAATTAATTTATGGACAGGAAATCCAGCAATAACATCTGAACCACAGCTCGTCGCATTTTGCAACAGCTTTGGGTCCAAATTGAGCTAGGCAGCCAGGGACGCAGTCAGCATCCTTGTAGCACTTGAATTCATATGGTGGCAGTTGTTCCTTGTTACATTGATTTGGTCTTGCCGCACTCACTTCCTCATTTCCTACATGTACATACATGATTATTTTAATGTGTAATATTATATAATTTGTACATTGGAAAAATGAGGGGGAAAAAAATAATTTTACCAGCAATAACCAAGAAGGCCAATACGAAGACAAGGAAAATGGTGGAGCTCTTCATCCTGCAGGAAAGGTTATTTTCTTTCAGAGCTTACTATGGCGAGAAAATGAGAAAGTGAAGTATTTTTTTTTTTTTAATTATGTGGTGAGTTCAACATGACCAACTCTTCCCTTTAAATAAGGATTAGGGAGCCAGGATGAGGATTGATTTTCAATTACATCTTTCCATTTGTCTTTGATGTTTTTGGTAGGAAAATCCAATTAATTAAAATGTGTTCAAGTAATGAAAATTTACTTCCTTTTTACTGGGATTTCCTCAAAGGGACATTATACATTTCATTCCAAGAAAAAAAAAATCCTCATAAACTACCTTCAACATGAGGGTTGCTAATTTTTTTTTTTTATGAAAAATTATTTTATTTCATCAAAGTGCTCAACCAAGAAAACTTTTATTCCATTCAAAGCAATTGCTGCATTTTATGAACAAGCTTTCCAGCTGCTTGCTGCTTTTGGTTTCTATGAACTCTTGGACATTTCTCCCTCCAAACTTCACTTACCACTACGCAGAGAGATTAATACGGTTGCGCAGAGAGATTAATAACCCCGACGCCCAGCGGGAAACGGTTTCCTTCTCCTGTTTGGTTTTGGCCTTTGGGCATGCAATTAATGCATAGCTCTGCCTTCTTCTATATATAGACAGAAGTAGACAGCCAACCGTCCACGAAGAATAAACTAAAACCCTCCCAAACATCCGATATGGCGTCGTCCGGTGGCAATTTGCCAAACTTCCCGTCGCTAATGCTGCCCTACTGCCGCAGCAATGAGGCCGATGATGATTCCAGCGTCGTCGGAGTAAAAGAAAGCAAGGGGGAATACTGCCGCTGCTTCCACGACGTCGTCACCAACGAATTCCATCACGTCGACTTCCCCGAAGCTTTCGGCAAAACCTGCCGCGGCTCCGGCTTCGGTTGGCTGGCCTTCACCCAGGAAACCCCTTCAGGTCGGTCACTGCATCCCAATATACATGATATATTTTGGTTAATCTTTTTGGCTTATAGCAAGTTCTTTTTACTGTGGGGTCGAGTTTCTTGGTCTTTGCTATATGAATGGAAGACAGATTATCAGCAATTGGAAGTTACATTGTATGGTGTTAATGCATGTTTGTTTCGCTGTTTTAGGTATGGTCTCTACCTTTTGGGTTTTGGGTCCGTTGGATTAGGGTTAGATCGTATATATATACATTATCGGTTTTTTGTAATTCGTATTTCTCAAATATAGTACTAAACCCAGTCTCTCCTATTCGTGGATTAACTAACACACATCATGTTGGTAAATCACGATATCTATATTTTTTTTATATTACTTTTCATTGTCGATTTTCCAATCCGCTCTAAGAGCTGAGAATGCATGTGATCTAATTGCGCACATTTATCAGGTTTCTTGATCAACCCAACCACCAGACAACGGATCGATCTCCCTCAGATCACGACGCTGCCGGGCGTGGTGAGTTACCGGCCAGACCGGGCCGGGTTCGAATACGTCCGCCAGGACGTATCAATGTGTGACGGCAAAGTGTACCGGGTGGGAGAAAGCGGGTCGTGGATGGCGCACTTTTACGTCAACAAAATAGTCATGTCCACCGACCCGGCCCATAAGGACTGCGTCGTGATGGGCCTGTTCGAAAGCTGCTTGGGAGGCCTCGCGCTCTGCCGGCCGGGGCTCGACGCCGAGTGGACAGCCGTCGTGGGCTCCACCAACGGCTACACCGACGCCGTGTTCTGGAGGGATCAATTCTACGCCGTGGACTGCCTCGGGAACGTCGACGTGATCTCTTACAACCCTGGTGGTACGTATTGGTGGAGTTCTTGGTTAAATTAAGTGATAATGGCTCGATTCGATATGATTTGCCTACACATATTCATCTTAAATTGCTTGTATTTTATGCTAAGTTTAATTGTTTTTTCCAGTTTTACGTGTGGTTTTGTATGTTTTGATATTTCAGGTACGTGTTGAATAAAAATGGATCAACTTATCTCAGAGCATGATTAAAAGCAAGAAATGACGAATGAACGTTGTAAAAGAAGAACGTGCATACACATGAATTTATTCGAATGGATGAAGAATTTCGTCATACATAAAACGATAAACTGGCGCCTTCTTTCCAAAAGCAAGGTGGTGAGTTTCACTTTCCAAAAGCAGGCTGAAACTTTCACAAAGCAGGCTGAAACTTTCACTTTCCAAAAGCAAAGGAGGCGGCCAGCACCTCTTCTTCTTCTTCTCCCATGTGCTGGTGCAATTCTTCTTCTCCAATTGACATAGCTGGCCGCATAAGTGGCTTCCTTTCCATCTCAAAAGGCGGCTGCAACTCTGCTTTCCTTCTTCCTTCACCATAGCTGGCCGAGACGTCCTCAAAGCAAGGCTGGCCAAAAGCAAGTTAAACAACAATCAAATATTGTTCAAATGTTTGCCTATAAAAGGAGGAGAGTAGGGAGAAGAGAGGAGGGGAAAATTAGAACCATAATAGAGCACTTATTCTTCTTGTCCCATTTTCAATTCTTCCTTATCAAAACTCTATCAAATTTTCATTTCGTTAATCATATCTCGTATTTCATCTATCGCGATTCTCATGTTCGTATTCGTAATTGGGAATATCGTGGTATATTGCGTTATTGAGATTACCGAAGTAAGCTTTTGTTCTGTGGGGTTTTGATAATTATTTGTGGTGGTAGATTGGTCGGGTTCGACCATCTTCGCCCAACGATTATTCCCCCGTCGGAAGTTTGCTAGGCGTAATCTATTAACTCAATATATTTACCATATTCTCAACCCGTCCGTCTATCATTCATTATCATTCACCATCGTCATCCCCCGGTAAGTATATGTTTATGATGTATCCCGTCATGAGCTAAATCTCTTTTCTGGGAGAACCTAGGGTAATACTATTAAACCTCGATTTAATAATTTGGATTTATTTTTCCTCCAATTTCTATTGTATGAGATTTAATAATGCCTTGTGTGGATTGATCACCTTCACATTGAATTGTCGTTTTTAGGTGGAGATCGATAGGAGATACTTGAAAACAGAGCGCTTCTCATGCATCGTAATTAGCTAATGAGCACGATAGTGAATTTAGATAATTATGCAGTCATTCACAATTGTTTCATCGTGATACTGTTGATTGAAAAAGGGAATCGGTCTTAATCCTAATTAATTGATTAATTGGTTGTGCGAGAGTGAACAATTAATTAATTGGTTAGTAAGTAGTTTTGCTCGAGAGAGAGGACTATCAATTTAGAGATTCCTGACTGTAGAAAAATGGATTAAAATGATTAATATGCCATGTTAAAATAATCGAGGTAAGATAGTAAAATCCCGAAGTTTCTCCCAGAGCTTTTCTCCCTTTGTTTAAACTTGATTTTTATTGTTAAATTAATTAGACCTCAAATCGAAATTGATTCACCATCTAAGCATTTTCTTACCAGTTTGCTTGCCTTATTCACTAAAAATCAAAGGTTGTACCAAGTCCCCGAGAGAACGATACTCGAACTTTCCACTATATTATTTTGACAGGAGGAGAATAAAAATTCCAACCTTTCATTAAGTCTTACGAACAAACCAATTAGTCACGATAATTTGAGTTGCTTGAAAAGAGTTTGTATGAGTTTTAATTTCTTACACGCTCTCTAGCTAAGACGAAAGCCTATTGATGGGGTTTTCTCAGATTGCAGTACAGGTTTTAACATATCAGGTCTTGTGTTGCCTAATCTAGTAGGGTTTCGGTTTGAACTAGGTGAACATATTATTCTTTGTGTTACAACCATTGTTTATATTGGGGGATTTTATAAAGATTGAAAACCATAACCTCTATCGGTGGTACGCTCTCTGGTAACATGAACATACCACGTAGTCCGAATAATTCGAGTTCTTATGAAAAAAAGTTTGTATGCGTACTCTCGATCTCTTACGGTGTCTCTGGTTTGCAGATGGTCTTCCGACAAAGTCACGGTGGCTTTCTACTCGGCGCGACGGTAGATATCTGGGCATCAATGATCACTACTTTGGTGGAAAACCCGTGTGGGGAACTCATGTTGGTGCACAGGAACAAAGACTGGAGAGATTGTGAGGGACCTGACTTCCCGCCGCAGGAGCGGGAGGAGCTTCATTTCGACGGCGAAGAAGACACCACGTACGTGGCTTTTCACGGTCCCAAAGCGAGGCTGGACTTTTACGAGACGGCGGCGTTCAAGGTTTTCAAGCTGAACCAGGATACGCATGATTGGGAAAGAGTGGACAGCGTAGGGGATTACGCATTGTTCGTCGGAATCAATCGAGCGAGTTTTGTTTCCGCGGAGGAGTACCCTGGATGTAGAACAAACTGCATCTATTTCACGGATGATTATAGAGAAGGTCACGAGGCTCACTTCCATGGCGGCTACGATATCGGCGTGTACGACGTAGGAAAAGGAAGCGTGGAGCCGTTTTCTTGTCGGGGTTTGTATGATCCTGTTCTGATTTGGCCGCCGCCGGTGTGGGTATTTCCTTCGAAATGATTTTTGGTGTTGCATGGCATGGAAAATTGATGAGATTATTGTTTTTGGGGGTTTAATTATTGATGTTGTTTTATTGTTGTTATTTGGATTTATTATTTTAACGTGGGAAATGGTCGAAGGCGCTAGCCTTGTTCGGGCAGGATTAGAGTAGCTAGGTCGATTCATATTCATGTGTACGATTGTTTCATTCGTTGTTATGGAGAAGAATATTACTTAAACTATTTTGTTCTTTCTTTAGCTTTTTTTCCTTACTATCAAATTCTTTACTTTCTATTGTTATCGTTTTTTTTTTTCCATTCAACCGATCTCAAAAGAGATGGAGATAAGATCCAAACAAAGTCAATTACAAACTGCGGAACCAGAACACATAGTCGAACCTCGACAAGAGTCGAGGCGAAAAACTCAGGGATTTTTTGGCCTCTAAATGAGCCTCCCTGTTCCTCTGACGACCTACGAAATGCAGATCGCAATTTCTCTTCAAACCCGCCAATAAAGCTTTGATCTCGCACAAAATTGCGCCCACCTTAGAATCATTGAAATCCCCTGAAGCACACTTATCCAATATGACCTTAGCATCTCCTGTAAGCAAAAGAGAGAGGAAAGATGTCTTTTGGAGCATTCTTGTAGACAATCCCGGAGAGCAAGGGACTCCAAAACATGAGCATTTAAAATCCCTTCATAGATGGTCGCTGATGCTGCAAATGGAAAAACCAGCCATGTAGGAGACGCGCCTTCCCCAATTACAAAGGCTGCTGAACCTGATCCACCCTTCCCCGTTGCGCCATCGAACGATGCATGAAATTGAAAATGCTCTTGAAGAGTCCGGGACTGAACAAGAGCAGATGCTGCATTCGGCAATTGCTGAGGAGGATATGGAGACAAGAAGGCAGACTCAATTTCATTAACTTGATGATGCCATTCCGCTGTCCTGGACTCCAAACGAACCTGTTGCTGATCAAACAAAGTACAACACTTGTTCTTCCATATACTCCAAAACATAGCTACAACTTGCAGAGTTAGATAAGAATTAGAAACACCCCCACTCTTATGAAAGAGCTCACCTCGGACCATACCAGCAAACGATCGCTTATCCCAACTCGCAAGTTCCGTCCGGAACCCCACCAAATTCCACAATTTTCGGGCAAAAGGACAGGTAAAAAACAAGTGTTCTATCGATTCAACCTTCCTATCACAAACCGGGCAAATCGGAAAAAATATCAAGACCCCTGAATGATAAGGCTTCTCTAGTTGGCAAGATCCGATTAAGACATTGCCAAAAAAAAATTTCAGTTTGGGTGGCAAATTCTAGTTCCATAACCACAGCCACATTTCATGATCAACTTGATTGACCCGCAGACGCTGGAATTTGAAAGGCAAGATGATAAGCAGAGTGTACCTGGAAAACACCTTAGGACTCGTAATGCCAAATCAATGCATCCGGAATTGGGATTTTCGACAAAGGAATTGACAAGATGAGCTTGACAGATTCAGGACTGAAAAACAAACGCAGCGCCGCCATATTCCAAGTGAGGCATCCCGGATCAATCAGAGCAGAAACAAATGGAAATGACGTCGTGGAAGCAACGGCAGTATTCCCCCTTGCATTCTTTTATTCGGACGACGTTGGAATCATCATCGGTCTCGTTCCGGCGGCAGTAGGGCAGCATTAGCGACGGGAACTTGGGCAAATTGCCACCGAACGACGCCATATCGGATGTTGGGAGGTTTTTGGTGTATTCTGATGCGTTGACGGATCAAGCATCGCAGCACAAGAACGATAAATAAACTAAAACAACTAAATTAGGAGTTTTCTTCTTTATTGACTTATTAAAACGTAGAAACAAAGTATATATTTATAGTAGAACCGGAAAACCTAATCACTTACCAATCCTACAAGGATACGGTAACTTAATCCTAAAGGAACTACCTTAAATACTTTAATAACTAGCTTATTACCCGGCCCGTTGGCCGAATTACTGTATGTTACCCACTTGTGGAATGGGAGAGAAAGCAAGTGAGAGTGAAGGGATTAGGATTCCACTTGATTAGGACCGACCCACTAATCCAATTCTTCCGGACCCACCCCAACCTACAGGGTCAGAAAGAGTCAATAAGAAAATACGAACGGGGAGGATTAGTCATATATCTTGACTCTTCAGTAGTGGGTCAAACAGGATCAAGGTTGGGTGAGGGCAATTTTTAGCGCTAAGCAGAGTTCTGGGTTGAATACCTTTACTTAAGCCTAGAAATTGGTGCTGATGCAGACTGCAGTTTTTATTATACCATCATCAATCATCATTGAATTAGTCCTGGGCATCCCTCCCCGTTGTCGGTCTGAATTCTAATGATGGCTTCATTCCTTGCACCAGCCATATCAGCGAGTTGCCATCTCGAGCATGATTTGCCTATGTACAAATAATACAATTAGAGTATGAAAATGAAGTCAATGAAAAGGAAAAGAGAATTCTATCACATGCCAATAAATACACACATAATAGTTGAAGCTAAGTGAAAGTCATTACTCGCACATCAATTCTCAAAAATTACAGACTAAACATTGGCTAGAATGGCACTGAAACTACCAAGAATCATGGACGAAACAACTTGTCAAATTAAATAATCCTTATACTGAAACTACCTTCTAACTTGAAATAAGACATGATCACAGTTCATAGCTCTCTTCTCACTATGAATTGGTTGCAGCTCATCCTTATCACTGCCTTTCAAGCTCTATTCAAACAGAATAGAGACCGTTATGTAAGATAACCATATTCTTACTGATCATAATTCCTTTCTTCACTCCATTTTTGTCGGAGAAAAGAGTTTTCCCCCTCTCCTGCATTTCCCTTTCCCCCTCTCTTCTCCCTCTTCTTCACAAACCGATCCCTAAACCAGCAACAACAACACAAAAATAGCCTTCGCCTCAGACAGGACTGCAGAAGCAAAATTTTCTAATATCAAACAAAATTTTTGGAAGCAGACTCAACTACGAAAAAAGAGTAAAGCTACAATGCAGTAGAACCCTAAATTTAACTACAATCAAGCACATATCAGCAAGATTTTCGATTTGTCTGAGAGTTAACTACACGGAGAGAACAATTGATGCATAATTGAAATGCTCCAAGCAAGTAGAAGGCAAACCATAACTTTAGAATTTGGTCATTATAATAACCTTCAAGTATTGATGCTTCTAAGAACTATCATGTCCAACCCCCACTTATACAACTACGTAGCCATAGTAATTAGTTGTATAATGAGAAATATTACAAAGAAAACTACATAAACAACCAATGTAAGTAAATATTAAAACTAACAACTGATAAAACTTAAAATCTCTCTATTGGTATAAATGTATCTATTAGTAACTACTATGCAATCGAGTATATATGATTTTTAGGCACTGAATAAGAAAAGTATAGATGGCTCACAAATGAAGACGTAGCAACTAAAGGTAGCACACAAAAACCAAAAATAGAAAAAGAGATAAGAAAAAAGGCGAGAAAAAGTCAAACAAAGAAAAAGGCCACATAGGAATACCTCGCTAGCTTTAGGGACTCTCTGCCACAACAAACAACCTTCTTAAAAATCTAACACCCTGAGACATCAAACAAACCTCCCACGACACTAATGTATGGCATTCCTATTGTCCAATAGGTTTGCCCAATTTAGACTTCTAAATAAATGGACTTTTCACCATTAAACCAAAACTCACAATCATTAACAGTTAATGCAAAGACATACATTTCTGAGGTCAATCACAACATTTAAGCATAATTTTTAGTTGAAAAGAACAACTAAGTATTTAGCTAAATGATATAGTAGAATGGACACAATCTGCTACCTACTAATGATATAAACGTGTACCAGTACCATCGTTGTATCCTGACTTGCCATTTGCAACGGGCACTTTGAAAGACAGCTGCATTTTAGAGAATAAACACCCATAAGGGCGTTACGAAACCAAGCTTAATCCAAAATCTTCATATTCCACTTCGAAGACTCCATTTTCAAAAATAAGAGAGTTTAACATGTCAAATCACTCATTTGAAAAATCTCAAACAACTATTAATCAATGCAATATAAAGGCACGTTCCAAATTATGTACTTGTAGGAATAATCCCAAATAATTATCAATTAATGCCTCAACTACCTAATGTGCAGAATAGCCCTGGAGCTGTGCTGTTGTTTGCGTTGGACTACCTTCAAACATAACATAGTTGCATCACGAACCAAAGCAATTAAGCAAAAATCTTCATATTCCAAGTAGAATGACTCAATTCAATTTGGCCAACGCTTTATACATATTGTTTACCCCTGGACCTGTTGCACTTGCGCCTTCAGATCTTCGTGAACACAATACAATTGCGGAGAGGAGGCTGTCAACGGAATAAAAATTGTTAATTAAGTGAATCACCATACAACTAAACAAACGCGCTCTTCTTGATTAGCTATCAAAATAGTGGGGGTCGCTACAATCCATCGGTTGCTCCCTCTGCGCCTAAGTTGTAGATATTAGGTTTCAGTGAGAACTTTGAGTACATGAGGAGATATTTTGTAGTGGAGGAGATGACCCGGCGAGTAGAATAGGAAGATTTGGAGAGGCTGCGATGGGCAAATCAGTTAAAATCAAGATTTTACCTTAAATCGAAAACTGGGGTAAAATCAAAATCGTATAATCGAATCGTAAAATCGTAGGATTTTAAGTACCATATAGAACATAGCATATAAGGATATTAATAAGGTAAATTATTAATATCACAAAGACACATAGCATTTAAAATGATAATTCAGAAGATTTTTTTTCCATAAGATAATTCTCAAGATTAATGTTCCAAAATCACTATTTTAATTGTTATTTAATGTTTAACTCAAAATCATTCATGATGAAGGGATATAGTTCATGGGTTTGGCTCTTATTTTCATGTTATGTCTAGGTTGTTTAACTCAAAGTAATATTTCGACATCGTCTACTAAGTATGATTTAAAACTAAAAATAATTGAACTCCAATAAAATAAGTAATGTTAGTGGCTTGGTACAAATATATTCATTAATAAATTAATTAGTTAATAATGATGTTAGTTCTTACATACTTCCAATATTAGGACAGGTGTTTTACCAATAAGTTAAATGGGGTGAAGGGAAAGAGATTAACCTAACCCTAATTTGGTTATTTTTATTATTTTTGAATATTTTTCTAATAGAAAAATATCTGAGAAGATTCCATTGCCTTTCCGCTGAAACAATTATACTTATTTTAAATTGGCTCAAACCACCTATTTTGTTCTCTTACGATCAAAATCCCGATTTTAAACGATTTTAAGGTCCACCGATTTTATAGTAAAATCTAGATCGGAATCCCTAAGTAAAATCCTAAAATCCTACGATTTTACGATCAAAATCCCGAATTTGACTGCATTGGCGGTGTGTGCACGATTAGTGGGCCAAATAACAGTTTGGGCCCGTTTAAATGAAAATATATTTTTACTTTCGTGCTCAACAGACCGACCGCACTGGCATCTTCTAAATTTACCCCTAAAAAATTGCTCTGTACGCATCAAATTTGAAATGGAATCCCTCTTTTCTCATTTCACATTTCACATTTATATGATGTGTAGATTGTGACGAGTGTAGATGTAGACCTGTCATTGTCCTACAAATTCATTAACACGCCAAAAAGTGGTGAAATGAGCCACCCTATTAAACACAATCTTGTATAATGATCATTGGATCCAATCATGCCAGATTATGAAGAAGTTTAAAATGTAGCGGTTATCCCGACTAAAACATTAAAAGAACCAGTCTCATATAGTTTGCACAAAGATATAATTTCTCCATAGTAATTCTGAAAAATAATATTAATTTAAGAAGTCGATATTGCTTCTACATGTTTAATATTGCAATTCGATATGCAATATTCGAACCAGTGATATTTGGGCTGCAATTTTAGGGTTATTGTATATTTATAAAATAGATAGAAATTTAAATTAAGTATTAAACTACAACTAAAATAATTAAAGTATTAAAACACCAAATAAGTACTTACGGGAGATTCAGTGGCCAATTAATCGTTAAAAAAGTCATATGATTTTCATAATTTAGGTTCGTGTATGTTTGAATTTAAATAGATACAACAAATATACTTACTTTGATTGATTATGATCCTTGCTTGCCTTTAAAGAGACCAAGGTTCAAATCCCAGTGCATGCCTTTTTTATGAATAAATGAATAAGAAAATAAGCAATTGTGAAGACCAAAATGTCCTTCCTATAATCACTCTCGTTGCAGGAAATTTGAAATGGAGCAACAGTTTTCATCATTCGGCTTTTATTTATTATCTAGATTAAGACGATTCCTAAACAATAACTTATTGTCAATAAGTAAAACTAATAATAATAATAATAATAGGGAGTTGATAAAGGTCGTCCTAAAAATTACTAATGATCGTCCTAAAAAACAACAAAGTTACACTTTTAACCTTTTGACATCTTTACCTTTCCTTTAGCAAACAAACACCACATTCACTTAGAAAACAAAAAACACTCATTCTCCCACACTCTCGAATTCATCATCGACATTTGGAAGCCGAAATCGTCGAGCATACGTCCGAACAATGAGTAGCGACTCCGACGAGGTAAAAATCTCGTTTTTTAAAAAAAAAAAAAAACCCAACCGAATGTGATTTTCGGTTGGTCCATGGTCCAACAGAAATTCGGTTTCAGTTGAACCATGGACCAACCGAAAATCACATTCGGTTGAGCCATGGATGAACCGAAAATCTGCTTCGTTTATGCCATGGGTGAAACGAAAAAAAATTTCGGTTGGTCCACGGTGGCACCGAACCTTTATTTCGGTTTGGCCATGGTGAAACCGAAAATTTGGTTAGGTTTAGCCATGGTTGAACCGAAAATTTGCTTCTATTGGTGGTTTTTGGGTTTTTTTAAGTTTATATCAAATATTTCTATTTTATTGTTATCATTTATAGTTTGGTCTATAAGATTGTTTATTGAATTTTAGTTTATATTATTTTTAAAATTTATGAGCCTAATTATTTGTGAAATTGATTGTTTTTGTATACAAAATTAAGATTAGATGCATAATACGCAATAAAAAAATTATAGAATGTGATTAATATGATTCTTACATTAGATGTATAGTATGTAAATAATAGAGAATGCTAAATTTTGTCGTGTTAAATGTTGGATTTTGCTTAGGATAATATAGAGAATGCTAAATTATTTGTGATAATTATTAAATTAAATGTAGTCGTTAGATTTTCTATTATTGTGGAGTCCTACTTATATCATGAGATCTAACATTGTAGGATATTGATAATTACGGAGGGGATGGCAAAGATTACACCTCAGAATTCGTCAATGGAGTAAAATACGATACAGATTTGATTGCATATGCAGCAGCTACTGAGATTGCCAAGGGTTTTGGGTTTTATTTGGTGAAGGCATCAAATAAAAAAAATCCAAGTGAAGATAGTAGGCGACGATACTTGAAGTGCACTCATGGTAGGAAGAAAAATTCGAAGGCTCCTGATTCTGATCCGGCTAAGGAAAGGAGGCCTCTTACTTCTTCTGGAAAGTTGGGGTGTGAATTTCAGATCAAGATTGAGCGGTCAGATGATGGATATTGGTTGATACTAGCAGTGGCTAATAGAAAGAATCCTGGTGCTAATTTGGGTTTTCACAATCATCCGCTGGAGCTATTTCCGAATGGATCAAGTAAGAGGAATGTTTTGACCGAAGATGATAAGCAATACATCAGACAACTGAGATTAGCCGGTGTCGCCCCAAGGAATATCCACAAGGCAGTGAACGAGAGAAAAGGGGAGCATGGAAAGGTGAACAAAAGACAGATTTCTAACGCATTGTATAAGATAAGAAAAGAAGAGCTTGGTCAGAGGACGGCCTTACAGTACACTTTTCAAGATGCTCTGGAGAAGGGTTACTATGTGCAGTATGTGGATGACCGTAACGTGCTTACACACTTGTTCCTAGCCCACCCTGAGTCAATATTGATGTTGCGAGCTTGGCACCATGTCATTGTGATAGATGCAACATACAAGACCAACAAGTATGAGTTTCCATGGGTTGAGATTGTTGGCATGACACCGGTGGGATTGAACTTTGTCATTGCATCTGCGCTAGTGTATGACGAGACAAAAGAGTCGTACCAGTGGCTTCTCACGCATCTGCAACATTTGCTTGCCCTATCACTCCAGATGTATTTGTTAGTGACAAAGCAGGAGGATTGGTTGAGACCGTGGGGGTAATGTTTCCATCATCGACTCATATACTATGCCTTTGGCATGTAGACAGGAATGTGAGAGCACGGTGTCTAACGGAGGTGAGGAGGACGTCTCATTGTGGGATAGATGCAGCCCAACCGACAGTGGATCTGATCATGGCGTCTTGGAAAAGGGTTGTACATGCCGGCAGTGAGGAAGGCATGAATAGAGCTTTAGACAGTTTCAGGCGTAGTTGGGGAGTACAGTATCCACGTCTTTGGAGGTACTTGTCAGATGAGTGGTTACCAAACAAGCACATGTGGGCAACATGTTATACAAACCAAGTGCGACATTTGGGTAATACAAGCTCAAATCGGGTTGAATCTGCTCATTCATCCTTCAAGAAGTGGCTTCAATCAGCAACTGGTGCAATCGACACGGTTAGTCTCTTAATAAATTTTCATTTATGTCTTCTTTAGAAGTTTTACTTAATCTAGTATCCTAATTTTCTTTCTTTGTTTGTAGGTTTATAAGAAGAACCATGATTATATTGAGGCTCAACATCTTCAAATCCAAAAGCTTCTAGAGGATTCTAGATTAAAGAAGATGTTACTAGCTGACGGAAGACCATTTCGGGAGTTGCATACAAACGTCACTCTACAGGCTATGAGGTTGATGCTCATTGAGGTATCAGTGGAAGGAGCAAGTTGTACATGTATGTTTCCTACTACCTTTGGTCTCCCATGTAGATGTGCAATGCAGTTAGCACGTTCTGAAAAGAGGGACATTGCCCCATCTGAGGTGTTAGCTTTTTGGACCATTATGAACTATCGTGAACCTCCTACTCGGGCAGAGTGGGATGACGATAGTCTTTACCATCGTGATGTCTTCCAAGGTCTAGTACAGGAGGTTCTTGATAGGGGAGATGAGACCATTCGAGGGGCTATTGGCCTACTTCGGAGTCATCTTCATCCTGAAAATGATGGCATTGATGAGCCGCATGGGGGGCAGCCCCGACCCGGTCGCCCGAGGACATCCACCACTCGAAACCTTTCTCACTTCGAGCATGTGGAGAGGAGACGGGGGAGGAGAAGTTCGATACCTTCGACCACAACACCGGACAATGACCAGAGGACAGGTAGGTTGTACTTTTTTGGGAAATTTATGTGCAATTGTGTAGAATATGATGTACAACTAACTTATTTTTGTAAATGATATTAGGTGTAGAATATGACTGAGCTTTACAGACCATACTATGATGGAATTGCCGACGGAATAGATAATGGGCTTCGGCGTTGCAGGTGGACTCAAAATCGTGGTTGTGGCGTTACCCACTGGATGGATAATGTGGATCTTTTCGTCTTTGCCACATTGCATTCATGGGTAATTGCTGTTTATAGTCAAGGCGGTCGTTATACCGTGCTACCTGTAATTGCCCCACCAGGAGTAACAAGACCACGTGGGATCGTATCACTACATTTTACGGGATGTCATTGGGTGCGTCTTGACTTTCGACCTGGTCAAGTGCCATTGCCTCCGATTAATGGGCTTTGGCCTATTTATCACGATCCTAGTGTCCATGGTTGGGACCAATTCTTCTCACAAGAACGCCAATTTTATGATAGATTAAACCCAGCCGGTTGATGGTTAGATGTAGTTGTAGTTATTGTATGAAGCTAAACATTAAGTGGTAGCAGCACCTTATCTGCTCCCCTTACATAAACGTGTGCTCTCGTGAAAATGTTTTTTTTGATAAGGGTGAAGATTAAATTAAAAAAAAAACAGAGAAGGGTCCAAAGCAGGTACAAACGAAGGGAGAAACAGGTTCAGAAGCACTGAACCATAATGAACAAAAACGAAAAGGTAAGGAAACAAACAGCAGCAGGGCGAAAGCCACAGCAAACCACTAAAGTCTACGAAGCAGAACAGGAAAAGAAAAGGGGAAATCTGGGCAAGAAGAAGATCCACCGATGCTGCGCAGGACACGGCAACGGAGCTTCGACAGAATGGTCACAGAGACAGCCAGACCAGTCGCTTAACACCTGCCATGCCACGGTGCAGAAGAGTCCAGCACGAGAAAAGAAAAGCCAACAACAAGAACTCCCGCCGTCACAATTCCGAATCAACAGTCGAACTCCGTTTGTGTTCTCCAGCCCAGCCGGGCAGCCAAACGATAACGCGCAGAGAGATTGCCGAGAGAAACAGCTCAGTGATCATTATAAAGGGGTCTTCTGCTCTGGTCGTTAATCCATTGTTTGCCCTCCTCTCTGGTGATTTTCCCCCTCGCAACAGGCCATTCCAACATTGATTTGAAAGCTTTCCGAGCGACGATCGTAGAACTATGGCTGATGTCTTGGAAAATGCGTCGATTTCTTTCAAGCCACAAGCTCCAGGTGATCGCGTGCAGAGCGCAATAGTTGATCCACTCGGCCGGATTGTTGGGGGGTCTGGATTGCCAATCTTTAACTGTTAGGAAGATGTCTTCGCTGGTGTTGTCGATACTTGGACAGGCGGCTCTGCATCTTCCCCAAACTTCCTTGCTAAAGTCGCACTTGACGAAAATGTGGTCGGCAGATTCTTCGTCTTTCTCACAAAGAGCACATATGTTGGCCAAGGACCACCCTTTTCTCTTGAGGTTGTCGAGAGTCTGGATCCTCTTGAGGGTTGTCAGCCAAAGGAAGATGCAAATTTTTGATGGGATGACTTGCTTCGTGAAAATGTTATTAATTTGTCATAGTTAAATGTAGATGCTAAAATGTTGGTCTAAGCAATACCTAGCTTCAGATAATTGAAAGGCGGTAGTTCTTTTGTGTTTAAAGTAATGCATTGAAGTTAATTAACCACCCACGGGAGTAAAAAGCTAACCTACTTATCACTTTGGATTCCTTTAAAAAAATTGATAGATCCAAAACTTGGACAGGGCAAAAGTTAGATGCATGATTCCTTGATAATGGATAGATCCGAAACGTGGACAGGGCGAATTGGATAGTACTATATACTGTGTGCATGCATGGCCTGTGTATATAAATGTAATGGCAATTTTTGACCCTCATAATTAGCCTATCCATTTTTCACTCTTTATCCTCTCTTATTCACTCATTTCAGCAAGTTGGTAATTACTAAAATGTCTTTTGATGTGTTCCTGCGTAAAAATTTGTTAAATTTGGCAAGGGTATAACCTCTAGTTTGTTGGTAAAATTGGTAACAGAGTGGCACTTGATATCTTATGATTTGTTTTTGTCGCCTCATCTGTTTCGGATATTTGACTATATTTCTTGGCAATTTTTTTTTTTTTTTTTTTTGGTAAGTCGAACAACCACACGTCCCTTGCTTATTATTAGTACATAAACCATATTTCGAATGTTTAACCTAATTACACAATATTTTCACTCCATACTATTACTATTAGAATTTACTTTCCCAGGAACCCAAACGTGCTTCCAGATATCCCTACTTCCCCCGCCGGCGGACACGTTCCTCAGGTAGATGCTGTCGCGTTTAACCGCCCAGTACACATTGTTCTCGTACTCGACGAAGCTACCGTCTCCGGACACGTAAGCATCGAAATCCGAGTGGACCGGCATGCCGTCGCCGACTGGTGCCACGTAGCACGAGTACCTGGTGACTCCGAAGAAACTCGGCCTGAACCGCCACGTGTACTCCCATCCGTCTCCGACGTAATGAACTCCTAGGTCTTCCTTCGACAAAAGTCTCTGGCCCGTGCAGTGAACCATTATGGAGTCGTTGTAGCCCAACTCGTTGCTGATGTGGACTTGCTTGATTGGCCTCCACAAGCTGGGGGTTTTCGGTGACACGTCATCGGCTTGGCCGGTAACGGTGCGGGTGGCTGCTGTCGCCGGAGATGGAGAGGTTATTAGAATTGTTGAAACGGCGATGATAATTAGTGCGGCTGCGGCGGCGGAGGGGTTCATTGTTGTTCTGTATATGATAAGATCATAAGAATCAGGTCTATTTGTAGTTGGGGAGAAATGATTATTTGTCTCTAAGTTTCAACGAATTTATAGACTAATCCCACCGCCTTGGAAGGAAAATAAGTTGTTTAGTTTGTTTTGGAGAGTCTATTTTATAAAGTATTGAATTTTGATATTTTTTATACATTCTGTTGAGTTTTTCCCCCCTTTTTATAGTCTTTGCTATATTGGACGATCATATTTAGCGGACACCGTTTGTAGGATAGCAAACTTAATTACCACTCGGCTTATTAACGAGTTGGTATATTTGTAAGCCCTATCTTTATTTTTTTTTATTTTTTGAATTGGATGGCGGGTGATTATAATTGATTTGTGCAGGTTAATTCGCTAGAAGTAAAAAGATGTCTCGATTAACATATTTTTATGTTCAAAAATATATCGCATCGGATATTCTTGTAGAACATATTAATCTAACTTTTGAACAAGTAAAATTTTGAAATCCTGAATTTGTACAAAATGATGTATAGCTTCGGGGCTATGCACTCGATCTGCTCCCAAGAAATCCGTAATAAGCGAAACACTTATTCTGGATAGTTTATTACTATGCTAATTCGGACGATTCAACAACAATAACTAATCACTCGTTACGGATTATCCCACAAACCAATAAATAACTGTCCAAAAAATTAGTTATAATCCCCTCTTTTATTACTGTAGTAATAAAGTTTAAGAAAACACTAATATTAATGATGATCAACATGGACCTACACAAAGACATAACTGAGATTCACACCCACCAAGAACTGGCTGTTTCGCAGCCTGAAATTTGACGCGGCATAGGTCGCTGCATATTGCGTCCTTGCATTCAGCAAAGCCCCCTGCGTACCCTAACTTGCAATATTCTCCACCGTCGGTTCTTGTTGCCACCAGAAACGTCAGTAAAAGGAGAAGGAACACGTTAGAGATCTTCATAATTGAATAATTAATTAGGAAATATGAATTGGTTTGAAAGAGAAGTTTTGGCAATGTATATAGCACTAGCTAGTCCACTAGTAAAGAAATCAAATTACATTAATGTTTTGAATATACAAATTCTAAAATGATCTATTTATTTATATTGAATGGGGTTGGTACTTGCTAGAAAGGTCTAGGATAAGTATATCCACAATAAATGAAATAAGATACACTTTGCATATATACCAAAATATGTATATGGTATTTCAATTCATCCATTATGTTTAACTCGAAAGGATATATGTATTAAATTATAATTTGAATTTTGTTTAATAATCATTAACTTACCATGTCCAATTTTTTTAAAAAAGAGAAGGAAAATTAAAGACACATTTTCCATTTGAACTATTTTCCTGGCGGAGAAACGTCAAAAGACTTCGAAAACCAAGAACTTCATTCATTTTTTCAGTTTAATTGACAAAAAAGCATTCAATCTAAGGATTTCCAGGAATCCACACGGATTTCAACAAATCCCCGATTCCCCCGGACACGTCCCTCATGTAGACGCCGTCGGGCCTAACCGCCCAGTACACGTTGAAGTTCGTGTCGAAGATGGACCTGTCATCCTCGTCGTAAGCAAAGAAGCCAGCGTGGACCGGGGGGCCCGCCGCCACGTCATTGTCCACGGGTGACACGACGCACCAGTACTTGCTCTTGCCGAACACGAGCGGCGGCTTGAACTGCCACTTGTACTCCGCCCCGGCCGCCACGTGCTGGACCCCCATGTCCTCCTTCTTGCCGAACAATTCGAACGACGTGCAGTGCACCGTCATGGCCGCGTTGGACCCCAGCTCGTTGCTGATGTGGATGTGCTCGTACGACCACAATTTCCACTTCGTCGGAGCCATGCCATCGGCTTGTTCGCCGCCGCCGGCGTCGGGTGCTGGAGCGGCTAAGACGATGGTGGTGGTGGTAGTGAAGGCTAGTAGTAATGCTACTGAGGCGGCGTTCATTTTCTTCTTCTTCTTCTTCTTCTTCTTCTTCTTGTTTTGTATGGATTAATTAGTCTTTATTGATTAGCCTTCGTTGGATACGAATTTATAGTAATTCATCTGCCTCCTAAAGGAAGTAAATCTCATTGCATGCTTCTTAAGGAAAGGTATATATGTTATTGAAGAACCTGTCATGAATGAAAGAGAGAGAGAGAGAGGGGGAAAAGGCTGGATTTTGGATCTTATGGAAATAATATAATTATGCTATTGAGTATTGACTGTTAGTAAAATGATTTTATTGGAACAAAAAAAAAGTAAAATGATTTTATTATTTTACCATAAAAACCTATAAGTTTCACAAAAAAAAAAGGGGTTGCTAAACGTCGCCCTACCCTTATCATAATCTCCCTAACTTTTCAGTTAAAAATACATATTTATCCTTTCTCTTTTATTGTTGAGTTTTTATTTTAATAAACATACTCAGTAAAAAAATTACCGGTTGACATTACCCGACGCTACTACTCGTCGCCACCACTGCTCGCCGGTCGCGCCATCGCCTCCACCAGCCCACTACCGACAATGGCAGGTGAAACCATAACATCATATTCGACATTATCATTATCAATCCGCCATTCACCGCACGGTGAGGAGTTGATGCCATGGTCGGCGGCAAGTTAAAAGTCAAGTCGGCCAAAATCTTTGAAGGAGAGACACTGAAACACCACAGAGTTTTAAGGAAGAATAGTGCAATACAAGGTAAAAGCAGACAATCGTATTCAGTAATATCATCATCAACCCACCATTCAATTTTCTTTCTCACCCTCACGCCCTCACCTGATCAAAATTAATATGTTCATTTTGACAATTTAAGAGACAACGAATGGAGAAATTGGATGCTTAATAGTATTCCGCCATTTCCGAAACGAGAGAGGATGTCAGAGAAGGTGGACGGCAGGATGGAAGAAAAGTTCTGTCGCGATGGTGAGAACGGTGAAGAAAGCGGGGTGTGCTATTGGAGTAGAACAAAGACAGCAGGACGGAGGCGGCATGATTGGTGGTGGCAGCGGTGGACGGCGGCGATAGCTTGGGTGTCTTCTCACCGATGAGAGCTACGCAATTTTGTAAATTGTGATTTTTTTTTCCTAGGGCAGTTAAGTCATTTTCACATTTAAGTTAGGGCGATATTAGTAAAATCAGGGCGATGTTTAGCCATTCAGAAAAAAAATCATAAGTTGTTTTCAATCTAACATTTAATTTGTTTATGGTTGGAGGAACTGTGTGGCTGGAGAAGCGTTTTTAATTTAATGGATTTTTTCAACTTAATTTATGGAAAACGAAGTAGTTTTGGGAAGGAAAGGGGCCAAAACAAGTTTCGGGATTAAAATCCGACTTGACCGAATCCAATTCAATCGGTCAGGATCAAACCCAGATCTCAATCCAATTTTCTGTTACTATTTTGCCCCAAAACATCATCTACAAAACTTGGTTGCTAATCTAGTTCAATTTAACCGGATCGTTTCCCACCCCTAAATCTTCCCACCACCTGTCTCGATATTTCCACATAACAGTAGTTAGTACAAACACAAGTATTCCCATTTCCCAACCTTTATTTCTAGCTCATGTGAGTATGAGAAATTATTTCAAGATTGTTGTCATGATAAATCCACTCTTCCCACCCATGTATATCTACGGGGCAAAGTAAATGAGAATGGTCGCTCCCTTCTTAGATTGACTTTCGTTTAAGTGGACATGCTAGAAAACTATAAGTTTTTGTCCATTCTATAAAAAACAAAGAGTTATTAAAATGAAAAGCTTTTTGAAACGAAATGTTTCATAACAAATGTATTGATACAGTGACTGTTAAGAAAATCAATTGAAGAAACACCCATAGTAGCACATACAGTACCACCAGTTATGCGAAATGAAAAAAAAGTTTGCTACGATCGGATAACCGAGTACAAAGTTAAGGTTGTTGGAAATTCTAAAGGAGTGGTTCGAGTTCACTGAACTCGAACCACTTCAGCCCCACATGGTTCGAGGCTTATATCACCGATCTACGACTAGTTCGAGTCTCCTACACTCGAACCGGTTAGTAGTTCGAGTTCCTCAAACTCAAACCACTCCAAACTTAGGTATTTTGGGAATTTTTTTTATAAGTGTGCTAGTTTAGGAATTTGTTTTACTTTTATCTGTATTTAGGGAATTATCCCCTATAGTTCCTGCCTTGCATCGTTTTCCGCCTCCTCCATCTCCTATGATCGTTGTCGTGGCTTCATTCCCTGCAAAATGCATTCGAATTTGGCCGTGTTGTAGCCTGAAATATGAACGATGAGAGCTAACTTGAATTGTTCTAACTTCAATCTAATTCTATTTCTACCCGACTTGAATTGTTCCAATTTCAACCTAATTCTACCGTCGAATTTGTGTCTAGCCAGCACGGCATTATAAAATTTATGTACTCCATGGTTTGCAGTCGTTTGAAACCCGAATAAATAATACTAGCCCGTCGCAAATGGGTGCGGTGACTACATCTATTTGGTAGTCTTACTCTTTTGGTTGCAAAATGCATTGCAAGGAAGAAAAAAAAAACTGAAGCATGGCAGGAGTAGTTCGTGATGGAAAATTCTGTACCTGCGATTACCAAGAAAGCTAACAAGAAGACAACCAGAAGCTTATGGGTGTTCTTCTTCATATTGGAATCTATTCTGTTCTGTTCTGTTCTAAACTTCACTGTGGATTTCAAACAGATAATTGAGAGGCGAGTAAGCTTTTTGTTCAATTTATAACAGATGTCAACAGTTTGAATATTAAAACGGCGTATCATGCGTGTGCCAGTTTTATATATGGACAAACCGAGATTATCAATTTTTTAAAAGCAGGTACGTTAACGTAATTAGTAATGATGCCCCGGGGTAGGTTGTCCCGGTAAGAGTGAGGTCAAGGATTCGATGCCCCCTCGAAGCTCTGTGTGGTGTTCTCGAAGGACTCTAGGTAGGCCTATCGGTTCGGTTTGGGTCGGTTAACCGAACCCAAAAACAACAAAACCCGGAAACTCGAGTCTCCCTCATTGAAAACCCGAAACCGAACCCGAAAATGGCACTATCAGTTTTCGGTTACCTAAAACCGGGGAAAAGGCACTAATGGTTTCGGTTGCTTATATGAAACCCGAAAACCCAAAAATTTTGCTATTGTATTGCCAGTGGAGCTTCGTTTTCATACGAACACTGAACACACAGAGATCTTTCAGCCATCAGAGACGAAATCTTGACCTCGATATGTGTCTTCTCCGTCCCCTTCCTTCGTCCTCTCCTTCAGCACAATCGAATCCCTCCTCGACGGTGCAGCTTCAACTCAACCACCGCCGTCTCCCTCTAGGCCGCTGACCTCAAATCGGACGCCTCTATCTTCTCGATTGTTGAATGTTGCCTGGATCCCTGTTCAGGCCGCCGACGGGGTGGTCGCCGCCAAAGCAATTAGAAAATTCTTCCTTGTCAAATTCATGCATGCACTTAGTGGGTCATTGCTGAAAGTGGATCTCTTCACCTGGGCAATCGTCGAGGGAGCTCTGAGCTTTGTGCTCTACTGTCGATTAGGTCAAAGGATCGAAAAATTACCTGCCCAAAGTTTGGTTGTTGGCTGTAGTAACTGTGACTCTGTGAGGTTTAGCATCGCCGTGTTGCTGCTGTTGCAGGCGATGAATGGAATGATGATTTCGCCGGCTAAAGGTTGCATAACCCATATGCGCCAACGGGGAAAAGCTTCAATCTCGAATGAAGGGATAATTTCACCGACTAAGGGATGGTAGGACAGAGACCACGATTTCAGATCTGGCTTTCTTTGTCTTCATAATCGGAGGGCTCTAGGTCGGCTTTCAACTTGCAAAAGGGTCTCCATCTTTGGGGAGATGATTTGTCTTTCTATTGAGCTCAACCCACCATTCAAAGCCCTTCGCTGCTCTGCTGTTTCATCTCCACTCTCCAACCCCAAAACCCTTCCTCTCAAACCTCCATCTCTGTTCCATTTATTTTCTCAAACTAATCAACCAAATGGCCCAAGTAAGCTTTGATCCTGTTGGTCGCCTCTCTGGCCTAGGAAATGGCCATCGCTGGTACAGATTCGGGTTTTCGGGGAAAGCTTTGATCTAAAAAGGAGCTATGATTTCACAGGTGAAGGAATGGCAGAGTAGGTCGCGGGAGGCAAAACCACCACTTCGGGTCCTTATCGGGTTTTAGGTTACAGGGAAACCGAACCTGACACATCACATATTTCGGGTTGAAACCAAAAAACCGAACCCGACAGGACTCTTATCGGTTCGGTTTCTGGTTAACCCAAAAACTCGAAACCAATTTGACACCCCTAACTCTAGGGGACGAAGCACTGTTGGCGTATAAAATTGCAGTAGGTGGCCCCAAATTTGGTCTCGCTCCACCATCACAGAATATGGGATGTTACTGGGTAATAGAAGAAAAAAAATCTTTAGTAGCTAACCAATATTGGTGAAGTCGCAAGTCGATTAAACTCCGGATCCCTGATTATTGACCCAGGTCATTAATAGCTAACCAATAGTTCTATTCAACAATTGTTACATCAACTTTACGAAAAACAGGGATCCAACCTCCGAGCTAGCCCTCTTTTGGAAGGAGGACGACCTTTAAAAAAAATGGATCTCTTTTTCCACTGCTCGTGGAGTGTTCCTTTTTGCCTTTAATCAAGTTCATCACCTTCATCAAAAAATTATATGGAATGGGTTATAAAGTGCTCTAGGATTAGTATACGAATCATATATGTGGTATTTCAGTTCATCCATTATATATTACAACTTAAAAAGATACATAGTATGAAATTATAATTTGAATTTTGTATAGTAATCATTAACCTACCATTTCCGATTTTGAAAAAGAGGAGAAAATTAAAGACACATTTCCATTTGAACGATTTTGGGTGGTTGGATTTATGTAGTATTGAAATATGATAAAGGTGTATTATGTTATAAATCAGTTAATCTTAATAACTCAAGTTTCATTATATATAAAAAAATACTCGAGTTTCATTATAATTTTGTTGTTGTTGGTCCCTTATATTGCTTTCTTTGAACTTTGATTTTCCTTCTCTCATTTTAAAGTTACCCCTTCTGCGATGTTGCTTCGACTTGGTAATCTTACTTTCAATCATCTTGACTTTTGACTGAAAAGATTTCTCTAGTGAAAGATCGGTAAATCGCCTCATCCTCTGTTGATGAGCAATGAGTGTCCATCAACTTGGTCATTGGCAATTTTGTTAGGTTACGTTTTTGTTATGGAACAATTCAATTACCACATCGATAATACAAGTGAAGGGGCACTTGTATATTAGTATCCACCAAACTCATGATACTTGGATTGTCCCATTATAGTTTCTTTGATGACTGCAACAACATGCTCGAACTTTGGCAACAAACTACGGAGAATTCTCTCAACAATTTTATTTTCCTCGATAATTTCACGAGTTGCTTATTTCTGGTTAACCAGCTCTGTTGCACAAGAATGAAAGTCTTGAATACTTCCACGCTCTTTCATCGACAAACTATCAAAGTCGAGCCATTAATTTTGACTTCCGATGGACATTTGGTTAGAAAAATCTAAATTTATATATTTTGACAGATTTGATAAGTAAATGACTGGACAGTTTGGGAAAATGTGGATAGATATCAAAGAAGTATCCATCCACGTACGTACGTGTATGGCCATACGGATATCAAGTAAACGTCATTTAACCTTTTGCTATATGTAACGTCCGTTAGGCTAACTGTTGTTCTGAAAATTTTATTAATTATTGCACTAATCCATTTTAAGGAAAAGCTAATGATCAATATGGGTACAGGGAGATAATCGTTACTGAAAATTTGATTACTGCACTGACAGGAATACCAAAGTTAATTAATCTGACATGGGCCATAACAGTTACATAAGAGCTGACTTCGACAGAGACCAGTTGCTGAACCCCCATATTGCACCTTGCAAGCGGAATCACATGTATTCTGAACACAGTTACCGGCCACCTTCGCCGTTCCTTTATAACATATCCATTCAGATTGATCGGTACTGATTTTGGTCGCCATGGCTGCTTCATTTCCTGTATATTTGTAAAATTAATGCATTTGAATGACCAATTAAAACCTCAAAAATTGGCAAGGAAATTAGGAGATATTTACCGATGATGACGAAAGATGCAAGTAAGAAGAGAAGTAAGATGTTGGAGTTCTTCATACTTTTGGAATTTGGGAATCTGCTTTTTTTTCTTTTTTTCCTTTAACTTGTGGAAGAGAATATGTTGTGGTAATAGCTTACCACTAGTTACAAATCACAAAGTGGAATGTAGAATGTACAAAATTGAGAAAGATGAGAGCTCTTTATATGGATTATGTTCGAGCAAAATTTGGTTTGTCTTAACTAGCTGAGATACGTTTTCCATATATATACATAAAAAAAATCTGATTTTAAATCCACTAATTAAGTATCTGATAAAAATATATATGGTATTTATGGTTTTGCAGTAGTGTTTTGAGCTTGTTATGTTTTTTCAGGTCAAAGGTAGGTGCATGTATAAACCCTGCTTATGCTTTTGTACATAATCATATTTGATCCATTAATTTCGAGTGAGGTGAGATTTAAGGTGTGTGATTTTTTTTTTCCACGCTTTTCTTATTGATATATATCTTCTTTATTTTAATAAAATTTTGAAAAAAAATTACACAAATAGAATGTGTTCACTGCGATCCAGAAAATGTTATTCATTTTTTTCGATATATTTGGGGGAAAATATAGTATCAACCTGTGTCACATTAAATTTTAATTCAAATTTTGTAACTTTTTACATTTAAAGTACAATTTCATCGTGATATATAGAATTTGATATGTTTCTTGAAATCAAACCAAATAGGGAAATAGTGTAAGACGGTAGCGAAAAGTGGTAGATAATAGTTAGTATATTCCTACAATCATACTACATTAGTACATTATGATATATTGATACATTATCGGCAACAAAGCGTTAAATTTGTTTGCATTGCACAAGTTCCGGTCGTCGTTGGTGGCGCACAAAGCCATGTTCTGGCCGGCGGAGCTAAGCACGCGACAGTAACACATGATAATCGTCACGATGACCACTACCTGCAAAAAAACTGACTGAGACATTGTTGTTCTTATGACGACTATATATTATTGGCAATGGTGGTGGCGTTTGATGAATGAACTGAACCATTGATCTCACGTGTGTATATATATATATATATATATATATATATATATATAAGAACACTACATAACTATTCAAATTATTAAGATTGCTCTTACTGTTATTTCACCATATCATCATTCACAATTTCGTTTCATTCTATTAGATAAATTCTTCATATAATACTTGTTTCAAAACGATGGGTGATATACATATAGGTCATTAATGAAGTTCACACGAATTCCTCAACTCATTAAATTTCTTGTCCAGCCATCTACCAGGTAATCCCTCCTTTGTAAATAACTAGAAGGACTCACCTTCATAAAAGAAAAAACATTATAAAAAAAAACCGAGAAAGACACATGTATCAGCCAAACCAATCATGCTTTGTCGTCTAAGTTGATGCAGCAAACAAATGAAAAGCTTTATTTTTATTCATGGAGTCTTTGAGTTAGAGCGGTCAAAATTGAACCCGACCTAACTAACCAGCCTAACTCATCCGACCCACAACCCGTCTGTAATCCGATTTGATAAAAAGACAACGACCCGAAGCCCACCCGTAACCTGAAATCAATTGACTCGTAATCCAATCAACTCATAACTCGATGAACTCGTTATTCGATCCAACCCATAACTCGTCCCATCTATAACCCGAATGATTCATAACCCAAATAATTCGTAACCGAACCCAACTCGAATAACCCAAGTAATCCGTAACCGAACCCAACTCGAATAACCCGAATAACCCATTTGACCCGAATGCTTGTACAAATATTCAATGTATACATTATTATATTTTTAAATTTACCAAGAACTGTTGTTCTCATAATTATTGAAAATTATTTGTAGAATTGATGGTACAAATTGCGGTTTTTTCTTAAATATTTAATTTTTAAAATAATAATATGTGAAATATATTTTCATTCATTTTTTATTTTATGAAATTCAAAGGATAAATTTTTGAAGATAATAGGAAGAGTTAGACACAAATTCGTATCTCCACCACCCATAACTATATTAAAAAAAATCAACCTTTGAAAATCAATGAAATTCCCAAAATCAACCTTGGATAGTTTATCCTTTTTACTTCATTCTCAATTTTTTACAGATTTTATATATTTTTTATAAATTAATAAATCGACGATTCGAACTTGATGATAATATCATATTTGAGCGAACCGTTGTTCGACCCATGAGTTTTGTTTGAGATATTACCGTTAATATATAAAAAAATTGTGAAGATATATAAGTGAGTGATTCGGAATGATGCTCATAAGTCTTCGTGGAAATGAAGAGACATACATCTAGTTCATACTATATTTAATTAAGATGATTCATTTCGAGATGTATAAGCATATAGTCTACCTTTTTTACTTCATTATCAAATTTTTAATGATTCAATTTTTTATAAATTAGTAAAATAAGTGAAGTTACAATCTCTCACCACAAACAAAAAAATTATAACCAACAACAAAGCTTTTATATACACTATTTTATTTATATTTAGTTTTTATACTAACATAATGGATATTTAATTTGTATGTGTAAAATATTATCATATTATCATATTCTTAAATTTATATCATTACCTACAATTTATATTCATATATTGATAGTTTGTAAAACATTATTTTCTGTCAAGAAGAAAATGATTCAATGGGTTGACCCGAATAACCCATAATCCGATCTGACCGAACCCGAATTAACCCGCAATCCAATAAACCCGTAATTTGATGCACCCGTAACCCGACCCGATCCGTAACCCAATTGACCAGTGACCTGATTGACTCGTCGCCCAATTGACATGCAACCCAATTAAACCCAATCCTAATTGCAACCGACCCGATTGAACTCGCAACCGATTGAACCCGACCAGGTTAGACCCAATCCGAACCCGACCCAACCCGCCCAATTGACACCTCTACTTTGAGTTACAGTGGGTTCCAGGTTCCAAACACTAGGAAATCCAATAACAGGAGTGTCACATCACATACATCAATATTTTGAGTTGCATCAACATCATTTCTGAGTTCACGCACATTATTAATTTGGCTACCGGCGCACGGAAACTCAAACATAGTCCATGTTCTGGCCGGAGCTAAGCTGGCGACAGTAACACAGGATCACCATCGCCACTATCTGCAAAACTACAACTACTACTGGTTTTGTTTGATGAGTGAACTGAACGAAGCCATGATCTCACATATATATATATATATATATATATATATATATATATATATATATATATGATGATTTGGCAAACAGAGAATCTGTAGCAGCCCAACACCGGATTTCTAAACTACAGCTGATCAGGGTGGAGATTCCATGGGTTTTTGCTTTCTGTCAGCTCAGCAGTCTTCACTATGAAAAAGCAAGAGCAAGGGAGAGGGATAGAGAGAGAGCAGAGCAGAGAACAACCATAAACATGGGCTGGGCTTTCGGTTTCCAATGATCCAAGTTTGGGCTGGGCTGAACCTAATAATTGGTCCATCGTGATTACCAAATATTGGGCTGCAACGCCATGATCCAATGGAGTTGTGATATTTTTTTTTGGGAGACTACTACGTTTTTTTATTATTATCATGGGTGGAAAAGTATTTGGTCTTTATATATGGAATTATCGTTGACGAGGAGTCGTCTCTTCATGTCGTGGTCTCCAACTACCCCCCACCAACTCTTTATCAAATGAATTATCAAATCCAACTTGGGCTAACGAGCTAAACCAGGTTGATAATCGCGCTTAAAATAACCAAGTTGATTATTTTTGTTTTGTTTGATGTGAGAACTTGAATGCATTAGTTTCACGTCCATTCTGTGTTTAGTATTCGGTTCGTAGGTCGGTGTAGTAATATGGTAGCTCATATGATGACTAGAAAAATCCTTTCTTTGTACGAGTCGTTTTCTTTGATTTTCAGACCTGACTGAATTTCAGGGATAATTATCTATTTTTTGAATCAATATGAGATTATCTTTTGTAGGAAAAAAAAGAAGAAAAAAAAGAGAAGCAGGTGACAACGTCTTCCGCGGAAGTAACATATGCACTTGGTGCGAATATCATCCTTCAACTGGGATTATTTTGAGGGCTTGGCATTAGCTTGTAGATATACTCAATGTGGAATAGCAAGTCGTCGTGTCAACTTTGAATAATCATGAAAATCTAGTTGTGAATTATTGGTACGACAAATAGCCTGCAAAAACATTGTTTGATTGGAAGATGTTGTTTTCGTGATCCGTCGTCATGGATGACGTGAATTTGTGATTAACAAACAAATATCGCAGCACCTTCTTGGCTCTTGCAGTCTTGCTCCATCCACTACTTTCTTTAAACCTTCAAACCAAACGCCCTCATCTACTACACTACTCCTTGGTTGACTTTTTCTTGCACATTTCTACTTCCCGGCGAACGACCTGAAAATGAAGATCGACGGCGGTGGACGCGATCGCGACGAAGACGGCGATGAACTCGTTCTGGGCCGACCTGCCAAGCGGCAGACAACACTCGTTAGTGAAATTATCACCCGTGGTACTACTCTTTTTCATCCCTCCAACCTCTTCCTGCGCTTCCTCCCCAGATTCATTCGCCCCCATCTGTTCTACCCGCCGTGGCCGTCGTCATCGTCGCGGGACATAGTTCCTCCTTCTCCTTCCTTCACTCCTTCTTCGTCGAGTGTTCTGCCTGCGAAGCACGACGTCTTCATCAGCTTCAGAGGAAGCGACGTTCGCGTCGGCTTCCTGAGCCACCTCAACTCCTTCCTCAAACACCAGAAGAAATTCGCTGTCTACCAAGACGATTCAGATCTCGAAAGAGGAGAGGAGATCACGCCGTCGCTGTTGGAGGCGATCGAGAGATCCGCGTGCTACATCGTGATTTTCTCCCCCAATTACGCCGGTTCACCGTGGTGCTTGGACGAGCTCGTGAGGATCCTTGAGTGCGGTCAACGGTACGGACGGAAGGTAATTCCGGTGTTCTACGGCGGCGTGGATCCTTCTCATGTCGAAAATCAAACTGGAAGCTACCGGAAGCTTCCGAAGGGGGAGACGGTTGGCAAAATTCGGAGTTGGAAAGCTGCTTTGAGTAACGCAGCCGCCATTTCGGGATTCGATTCACGAGATACCAGGTACGCTTTGCGTAAATTTTTCTCGTTTCTTTCATAGCGCAGTATAATTCAATAGAAATAGAACTACTTGATTCGTTTTGCTGAAAAACTATTTCTTTTCTCAGGCCCACAATCCGTAAATATTTCGTTTAATACACGGATATGTACTCGTATATGTTTTATCCGTTTAAAATTTTTGTATTTGTATTATTGTCAAGCCGTTTCATTTATTTTGGTTCATTTGATGACTCCAATATTAAACACGTATAGAACTCGTATAACATGTTTAATATCCGTATCTAATAAATTTGCTAAGTTTACTATTATTTATGTATTTTTAAAAAAATTAAAATAATATATTTGTGACTCTTTGCATACTTTTAAATTTGCAAAGTAAAATACCTGTACGTACGTATTTGTACGTAACTTTTCTCGTAGCGTAGTATCCAATTCGATAGAAATAGAACTACTTAATTTGTTTTGCTAAATAGCTATTTCTTTTTCCCAGACCTGAATCAAAACTAATTGAGGAAATTTATAGAGCTGTGCTACAAGCTCTATCCGCTCAAATGGTACCAACATCATATTCCAATGTGGGTTTGGTGGGAATAGAGAGGAGGATGAATGAGATCGAACAGCGGGTAATTAGTGGGAGTCAAAATTTGACTATAGGATTGTGGGGGACGGGTGGCATCGGGAAGACCACTCTTGCGAAGGCTTTCTATGATAGATTTTCCAGTCAATTCGAAGTTTTGTATTTCTGGAGTGACTTTTCAGACCAATTAAGTGCTTCATCGCATTTGCGTGATGGTTTGCAGAATAATTTCTTCTCTACATTGTTGGGTGATGAGAATGCGGGGAGAATATTTCCGGATTTCAAAGAACATCGGCTTCGTCGTACGAGGGCTTTGGTTGTCATCGATGATGTGGGTGATGATGTTGGAGACATCGGACACTTGAACAATTTGTTTAACGGACGATATTGTGACTTATTTGCACCGGGAAGTATAATTATCCTGACAAGCAGGAACAAACAAGTGCTTAAGAACGTGTGTCATTACGTTTATGAAGTGGCGGCTCTTGATAAACATGAAGCTCTACTGTTATTCTGCCTCCGTGCATTCAAAGAGCATTGTCCTCCAATCGAGTATGAGAAGTGGTCAGAGAGAGCTCTCACTTATGCGGAGGGTAACCCCTTAGCTCTCACTACTCTAGGCTCGCATTTGTATGACAGGGACCAAAACTTTTGGGATATCGAGTTGAGAGCCTTGGAGCGTCACCCAAATCGAAGTCTTGAAAAAGTTTTTCGGAGGATTTATGATGGACTAGGTGAAATAGAGAAAAATGCATTCCTTGATATTGCATGTCTTTATGGTCGATCCAAGGTTTATGTCAAGGAGTTGAAAAGACTATTGGATGGAAACTATGTTGAACATGGTGGGAGTGAAAACCTTATTACTAAATTTGTTGACATGTCTATGTTAACAGCCGTCAATGTTCCTTTTTATTACGTAAAAATGCATGGGTTGCTGGTTGATTTGGGTCGTAGCTTTGTCAATGAAAAGCTCCGACTTGAAAAACGTTCATGGCTGTTTGAAGCTCAAGACATATATAGTTTCTTTAAACAAGACAAGGTACGTGGACAGAGTGAACACTATTCCCAATTCAATGCTAAACTAATGACACATAACCTCTGTTGAGTAATTATTATCTCGTTCACTATAAATGTTGAGTAAATTTTTCATTGGTATTTCTCCCACTAAACAGGGAAGTAAAGTTACCCGAGGCATTCGTTGGGATAAATCCAGTGGTGAGTCAGGGATAGAGGCAATACACATGCAATCTGATGCTTTTGTGAAGTTGGAAAATCTTAGATACCTTTGGATACGTCAATCTGACACAAAATTGGTTCTTTCTAAAGACGGTTTGAGATGCCTACCGAATTCATTGGTAATTCTTAAGTGGAACTCATTCCCAATGAGATGTTTACCATATGAATTTTGTCCGGAGAATCTTACGACACTGTCTTTGCCTTCAAGCAACATAGAACGACTTTGGGACGACATGCAGAATGTGGTTCGTATAAATTTTTTGTGTGAGATATATCTCTTTTATCCATTTGTTTGCTTTTCAATATTTAAGCCTATCTTATCATCGACATGCAGGATTTAAGAAATTTGAAGTTCCTTAATCTAAGCAAATCCATATACTTGAAGAAGTTGCCTGATCTCTCTACGGCTAAAAGACTGGAAACAATCAATCTTCGTTTCTGTGTGAGCTTATTGGAGCTTCCTCTATCGATTTTGCATCTGCCCAAACTGGAAGACCTCGATTTAGAAGGGTGTATCAGCTTGGAGTTGAATGCATTGGGATATTACACAGATGTCAACAAGAACGATGATAGGGCTACTCCTGCCATTTTTCCAAAACTAAATCGATTGAAACTAACCGGCACATCAATTCAAAACCAGAAGTTGGAGGAGCTGGAGAAGTTAACGGGGTGTGGCGAAATTTCGGCCAATGATCAAGAGCTTGTTCATTTATGTGATCTAATTTTTCAGTCGAAGGCTCTTGTAGTTATCCTTTTATCTAACTGCATCTGGCTGAAGGAACTTCCAGAAATCTTGGTGCCCATGGAAGATTTATCACGTCTTCATCTAGATGGGTGCATCAATCTATCACGACTTCCAGATAGCATTTCCAATCTGGTACAATTGAAAGAGCTTAGGTTGCTTCGTACAGCAATCCAAGAGCTGCCAGCCACCATTGGAGATCTCGCATGCTTGGAACAACTGTATCTCCAAGATTGCACAAGTCTCAAACACCTCTGCGGCACCATTCACAAGCTATCCAAATTGTACATCCTCGGGTTGTCAGGTTGCAGCCAACTCAGTCACTTACCGGAGCTTCCTTCATCCTTGACAGAGTTGGACGCATATGGCTGCACCGCACTTCAAACCATGTCAACTAGCGGCTTGAGTAAACATAACTTCTTGATGTGTGAATGGAATTTTGGAAACTGTGGAAAGCTGGATTCAGATGTGTGCAGCATGCTTTTCAACAAGGTACTAGATCTATTCACTCTTTTCAATTTTAGTTGATGCTCGGATATCATTAGATCATATCAAATTCATTTGCAGTTCACTCAAGATGCCTTGGGTACGCGTACGAAAACGAATCATCCTCCATGGCTCTTACTTCCAAGAGGTTGGAATAGTCCTGATGGATGGAGGCCTTCTGGGCTTAATTCAGTGGTGACAGCCACACTTGGTCGCCTTTGGCAGTTGAAGGGACTAATCTATTGTGCTTCATTCCATACCGAAGTTGTCCATCCACCTATCCTTACTAGTGCCTCATTTGCTATGTTCAAAGTTGACTGTCACAATTTGTCTAGCACTGGCGGGGGGGATGTCATAACTGCGAGTTCTTGCGTAGTTCCAATAGATTGTGAAAACCTTTATTCAGAAGATGACCGGGGAAGTAACCTGTTAATATGGTATGATTCTGAGGTTAGCTGGATGAGGGAGGTTTTAGTACCTCTGGAGATCACAGTTACAGATGATGCTACCATTAAATTCGTCATTCAGGCCAAGTGCAGAGCCAGTCTCAAGGGAGGTGGTCCTGTTGAAGTTGAAGTACCAATCATTGTGGAGAATTGTGGGGTAATACCGGTTTACGACAACAGGGAGATAATAATAATAGATGATGACGACAGTTGATCTCCAGAGAGCCTCCTCGAGACAATATTGTTACAGATCACAGGGCAGCTGAATTGATGAAAGGAAATTTTTATGTCGGTATACAATTGGTTGTTCTTTTCTTATTCTAGTCTTCCTGTGTTATAATGAACTCAATTCTATCGCGCTTCAGCGGCAGTTATAAGTACTGGTTGATCGAGCTTACCTTGTTCTCGCTACTGCCAAAACCAGTTTTGGTTCCAACTTCAAATTTCTCCTTTTTAAGTAGTACAGGTAACACAAATCAGAATATTTCATCATCAGTAAGCCGTGCAATAATGTCAAAGCCGCACTTGCTTGGTCCGGAAATGTGAGTATTAATTATGCAGTCCTCTCCACGCCCGACAACATCATAATTATCCCAAACTCGATCAATATGACATAGTCTAACAATTCATATGATTAAGTGAGGATTGACAGACTAATAGTTGTCATAGACAATCGAGGATGAGATCACCTATTCCCCAAGCTGGTATTGCACTAATCGAGTGAATAATAACAACCAATGAGATGACGGACTCATCGAAACAAAAGCAATTGAAATGAAGTGTACGTAATTAAAAGTCCTAACAATTTTAAATTATTATTATTAAATTAAATCTATTAATAGGTCAAGTAACCCAAAGTTTAAAACACTGTTATACCCCCATAATGAGGACAAAATAAATCCAACTTCAATTTTACCGGAAGTTATTATAGAAGGGATTCAAATATGAGATATCCAGGTTAAGAACTAACGGTTTAACCGCTAAACGAAATCCTTGTTTGCATGGATACTAATTTACAATTTATGAATTAAATAAACGTAATAAGTAAGTCTTCCGAATTTCTACAATTTAACAAAACTGTTGACCAGCTAGTCAATGTGCATTATACAAAGGTTTTATACGATCACTTAATTTTACACAAGGGTTTAATCAAATGGGATTCATTTTCTTGACTTAATACATTTATTGTTAAATAGAATACATTTATTATTATTATCTACAATATTCATTATCTCATTAATTTGCATTGCCAAAGGTTCTATGAGAAAAGCTAATTTTATCCGTAACTTGATTTTATTATTAAATCACAAAAATTATGGAAGATTTACTTAGCAGGCTATAATAATTATGTAAATTATGAAGGGATACATATTTCTTATGTATCAACTAAACAAATGTATTACGCAAGTCTTTCTTATTAATTAAGACACTACGTAAAACTTCTAAAAATATCTTACCCAAAATATTTTGAGAATTATTTAATTTTAACTAAAATATTGATAAAATTTTAAATATATCAGTTTCAAGGTTAAAAAACTAGTTATAATTGATTAATTTTAAATTTTATTCTGTAAGAACCCGACTTTTTGTCTTTGTCGTAAATATTAGAATGGCCAACTGAATCCTGCAAAGTAAATTGGAGTTTCAAAATTATATGATGATCACTAGGCGTTTCATTTCGCCGTCAGATTCCAAAATTTCAACTACGACTGAGATTCCCTTGCAATTGCATCATGCACATATGAGACAACTCTTCGAAATAAAAATCATTGTGCGAAGCACAAAACTCGAGAGGAATTGTTGTGGAAGCCACCAGAGCAAGTTTGGGTTTCTGTTCACACAGATGGATCGGTCCGCTTGCCCAACTCAGATGCAGTGGCAGCCTGGCAGGTGGCCTTATCCGCAATCACCTCGGCCAATGCCTTGCTGCCTTCACTTCCAATCTTGGCGAATGCACAATAACAAGGGTTGAATTAAATGAGCTTTACATGGACTTCAAGTAGCTTGGAACAAGAGATTTCGACGGGTACACCTTCATCTTGACTCCCAAGCTGCCATCTAGGTTCTGTCTTCCCGGGAGGGAGGAGATCACAGATATTTTATTCTGGTCCAGAATTTCCAGAAGATGCTTCAACAAAACTGGGAGGTGAAAGTCTCTCACACATTCAGAGAGTGCAACAAGCCAGTTGATTACTTGGCTAATAAAGGTCACTCAACTAGTATAGGTTTCCATGAGTTTGATATTTCAGATCCGGGACTTGCTTTCTGGATTTTGTATGACATTATGGGCATTTCTCAAACCCGTTTAATCTAGTGCCAGGCAGGGTGCCCTTTTAGCACCCCACTTTCTACCAAAAAAAATATGTTTATCCCAACACAACTACCAAACCAACCCACCATCATCATACAACCCACTCAACCATACATATCGATGCAAATCATGTTCCTCGATTCATAAAATCGTTAAAAAAACTGAATTTTTAGCCTGAAAATCATCCAATCCGCTCGGCCGGCGGAATCCCTATTCCTTCACACGGGCTATAACAATTACACGTAAGATCATCTGCACATTCACCAATAATAGTTGTTTCCCCATGATCATATTTCAACTTGCACACGAAGTTGCAGGTTTCTGCTGGGCTGCACAAATGGACTGCATGCGCTTTGCCTATCTGACAAAATGCTCCATCTTCAGTAGTGGTATTGCTCGCCGCCGTTGCCACTTCGTTTCCTGCATAATCGATTCATCGTGAAGTTCATTTCCCACCACAAATGAGGGATAGCTGGAAATGGGATAGAAAGGGACAAAGTGGACTGTGATCTCGACTACTCGGGTACGTATGAAGTCAGTCGATACACGTTCAACTAATAAAAAAAACTATTTTTCAAATAATGCATGAAATAAATTGTAAATTTATTAAATACACAATATGTCTCAAATAACGATACAATCAACCCTTTGGAAACTTATCGATCTAAGTAGTACCAATTTTTAAAGCATTACGAGGTGTGTAACTTCTCACGGGTAATCGCATTCTCAAATCTAAAATTCTTAACTCATAGACAAGGTTTTCGTCTTAACCCCCTAAATTTAAAACCAACCAAAAAGTATTTGAGCCACTACAATCATCGTTGGTGGTGCATTTGAGTGAACGCGATGAAACCATTAATTAAGCTAATATGGGATAGAACCCAGACAATAACATCTGGACTTTAAAGTTTAAAACCTAACCACCCCAAATGGCTGAGAAAGGGATATATTGAACAAATGATAAGTAGAGGTGGAAATCTGAATTCAAGCCACTTAATTAATTAAATTCATCCACTAAAAATCTTTAACTAAACTATTCCACTTAAATCCAAATTCAAAAAGAATATTGAATCGATCCATGGATTGTTGAAAAATTATAGTTTAGTATCAATATTTTTTATAATTTGATATCTAAACTTTAATTTTCAATAAAAATATTTCAACTATTATTAGTGTTTTTATAATATTTACCTGCCATTATATGAATCTTGGTTACAATTACTGAATACAAAGAACACCAGGGGGATAAAAAAGTACAAGTGAATATCAGTTCATAAAACAAGAAGGAACAAACCATAGAAAATTGAAAAAACAATTACAAGAGTAATACTACTAAAAGGAATACTACTAAAAGGAATACATGATATTCAAACATGTCATTCAAGTCCTTATGAATTTTTTTTTAAATATCTCACCAATTTATAAGTAATTTTATTAATTTGGGAGTGATATATAAAATGTAACCCACCCAACTCGACAAAAAAATTACGAGTTATCGGGTTCGGGTCATTCGGATTTCGGGTCATAAAAATTTCTACTTTTCGGGCGGTTTCGGGTCTGGTCAACGGGTAGGGTTGTAATTTGCCACGTCTAAAAAAAACTTTATGAATGAAAAATAGTGATGATAGAATTAGCAATTGAGTTTAACTAATTGAAAGATCGAGTCTAATTAATTGAAAGATCAAGTCTAACTAGTTACAGAAATGTCAAAATAGGATAAATATGAATAGATATGGTAAGAAATAGATAAATAATAGGCCAAGAACGGGGCGGAGCGGGGTATGGCAAGTCGGAAGTAAAAATACCTATGCCCCACCCCATACTACTGTAGGTCTGATAATATACCCGCCCAATCACGAGTCAAGTCGAGTAATACTTACCTGACAAAGCAGGGTTCAAATTATCATTCCTTACCTGTTCCTTCACATGGACTATAGCAATTGCATGTAAGATCATCGTCACATTCACCGATAGTTGTTTCCCCTTGCCCATATTTCGACTTGCACACGAAGTTGCAGGTTTCTGCTGGGCTGCACACAGGGACTGTATGCGCTATTCCTATCTGGCAAAATCCTCCCTCTATTTCAGTGATATTGCTCGTCGCTATTGCCACTCCGTTCCCTGCATATTCAATCCATCAAGAAATTCATTAGCACAAAAAACTTTGGGGATTACTGGAAATAGAAGTAGAAAGTGACAAAGTAGTAAATACAAAGAAAAATATTATAAGGTGTTTACCGACGACGAGAAATGTCAATAAAAAGAGAAGGAAGATGTTGGAACTCTTCATCATAAGCATTTAGTAAAATAGGAACCTACTTTCTTTTGGAAGAGAACTTGTGCTAATATATACTACTCGATATTAGTCTCAAATTACCACGTTGAATGTGCAAAGTCTACAGACCTATTTATATGCAATCAGATGGAGCAAATTATATAGGATATGCATGTATATCAAGTCATTGATGGTATATAGCATATATACAATTTGCATTTATACCAAAATCTATACATAGTATTTAAATTCACCAAATATATATATGGATAGGAAAGAGGGGTTTGCATTTCTTTAGTTGTATCTTCTTATTGGGTTGTTGTTACCTACTTAACAGCTTGCTGGTAGAATCTGTTACCTTTGTTCCCTGATAATAATAACAATCTATATTACCATTATAAAAAAAAATTAGGAAAGTATCTATATTACCATTATAAAAAAAAATTAGGAAAGTGATTGGCGGTACCCTATTTTCTTGAATTACTTGAGTCGTGTCCTCGTCGTATAGACCATGAATTAAACCCCAGGCCACGATTTTCTAATCCCAAACTCAAAGTTCAATTGAAGAGAAAAGAAGAGTTGACCATTGACATTGACCGGAGCTAATCCATGTAAATCTAATGGTCAGATTATCTGGAGCATACCATTCGTCTCCATATATATATAAATAATTTGGTTTTGAAAATAACATGCTTATGTATTTGAAAAACAAATATACTATATTTAATAATAATTTCTCATTGTATATTGGGAAACTATATTTATTGTTTTGTCATTGGAATTTTGGTTTTGAAAATAACATAATTATATATTTGACAAACAAAGATATGGTATATATATCTTAAAAATTATTAAAGAGATTCCAAAAACCTATATTGTCACATTGGAAAATTGTCCACCCTCAAAATTTATTTTCACCATTGAATTTTTTTAATTTTCTCTCTCCTCATCATAACACTCTTATATTTAAGACTGTATTAATATTAATAAATAGATAACTAGTGTATAGTTAAAATATGTCATCATACAAATTAGTTGTACGAAATTAATTTTTTAAATAAATACAATAGTAGTCGGTTGCATCAGTTTTACTAGTTGTCCGCCTTAATGTTTAATTCTGAGAAATGTCGATTGTTTTGAGCTGGTTTACCTTAAGGGAAGTATGGAGAGGTAGCTGCAATTGCTGGAATTT